AGAGAGAGAGAGAGAGAGCGAGAGAGAGAGAAAGAGAGAAAGCAAGCTGCCAAATCTGGGATTCAAACTGCAGTTGGCCATGTGGCAGTACAGTGCCTTAACCACCATTCAACCTGCTAGCTCCAGTGCAGGTTCCGTTTTAGGTAAAAGAGAAAGCTTTGGGTTTCTAAAACTAATATTTGAGTTCATTGTTCAAATGTGAGATAACTTTGTAAAGAACAAGACCTATTTGGTTTTCAGTAACTTGAGAAAATTTATGTTTGTGAAGCCAACAAGCCTCATGGGAGATAGGCAATTGTATAACTTAAGATTGTTTCAAAGCAGTGCGTGTTGGATCTAAGACATATATAGGTCATAGAAATCACTTCTCTCACTCAAAATTATCCTCACTTAAATAATTCAGTCTCCCGCCAGCATTGTTGCTTAAGTGGGTATAGTGTAGAGGAAAATACATACAAGCGATATGTGGAAAGTCATTGACTTTGACCTTCAGCTGGAAAAAGCTTATGCTACAAGTCCCCTTCCATGTTTTCCCAATGAGCTCTCAGAGTCGTCCAATGTTCAGTTCTTGCCCATAGGACTACATTTTTCTTAACATCTTGGCAGACCTTGTATGGTTTTTTTCCTACCTTATAGACAACAATAATAGATCAGATGAACATTAAAGTTACTTAAATCCTAGTTATCTACTCTAGGATGGTAAAAATCATCTGGAGCAACAGGGGAGTACAGGTTATTACTAGTTAGCTCTGTTGCATAGGTATGCAAATTAATGACCTGAAACTGCTTAAGGCTAGAAGGTAGTGAGGTTTATAACTGCCCAATTATAAAGAAAAAAATGAGGGAATAATTTTTAACTGGTGTAGATTTGATTTCAAACCCCAGCTACTTTCCAGTATTGGGCTAGAATAGGTCCCCTAAAATAACTAGTGCATTGCACTCTGCCGTGGCGCAGATGGTTCCAGAAAGTCTAGCTCTGTCCTGTAAAAGAAGTACTTTCATAACTCAGGGTTCTGTAAAACATGATCATGCCTGATAGGCACTAGAAAGTTTTGCAGACTTACTCAGCCAAGCTAGAAGGTGTAGGCTACTGAACCGCCACATCTTTCCCACACCCAGGATCCTCCAGGTTCTTCAATGAACTGAATGGTATTATTTTGAGCAGGCCAGGAGCAGCTGATCTGTTACGTAAAGGATGGTGGGCAGAGCAAATGACATTTTCTTTCTAGCATTGTCTGGCAGACGGTATTCTTGAAATACACAAATAGTTGTCACAAATCTTAATTTTAAGGAGCACAACTGTAGATAAACACAGATAATAAATTTTCTTCTCTAGAAAATGTTTGATAAAAAACATATTAAAATCGACCTGACAAAGTCCTAAATTCTCGTGACATGGTGGGCATAGCCTAGAGTCAGCCTAAAGTCAGAGATATCAAAGAGCTCAGCTAGGTGCTTTGAACTAACTCCTTTTTATTTTATTTTTTATTTTTTTACTTCCCAGAGTAAGAGCATTAGAAGTATTGACTTTTACTTGCAGCTGATGAACAGATCTCCTACTATTTTATCTGCTCAAATTGTTTTTGAATTTCTGAACCAAATCGTATTTGCTATCACTAGACTCAAGGAAAAACAGATTTTGTTTAAATTACATGTTCCAAATACCTAGTTTTAGGCTTGCAGTAGGTACAAAACACCTATTGGTTAGATGAACAAAGCCTGGATAATTGTCCCATACTGAATTGATAAATGGATGAATAAATTCAATGTTATTGTTTCCATCCTAATCCAACAAAACACATATTGGTTAGATGAACAATCAAAGCCAGGATAATTGTCCCATACTGAATTGATAAATGGATGAATAAATTCAATGTTATTGTTTCCATCCTAATCCAATTTGACTTTTAGGGAGCGTTAGGCATAGTTTATCATTCCTTCCATAGTGAAGTACTCTGTGCTCTTGGATTCCATGACAAGCCATTGTTTTGTCTCTGGCCACTTTTTGGTCTCTTGCTTCTCTACTTAGGCTTCTAAATATTGGAGCTCTCTAGGACTCTGCCCTACACTTGATTCTCTTTCTTAAATTACTTCTTTAGGTGAAATATTATTTGTTTCCTTGGCTTTAATTACCCTGCATATTCAGGCATCTCAAACATATAAGATCATCCAGGACATCTCCTTTGGATTCTAAGTTGAATACACAATTCCCTGATTCATCTATATTTGGAGATCTACAGTGTTATTAAAATGAATTTTTTAGTCAAACTCTTAAACCTTCCCTCACTAACCAACCAGCCAGTTAACCAAACGATGAACAAGCACAACAATAAACAAAAATCTGTTCTTTTGCTCTTTATCAGTTTTGTAAATGATTCCACCTCCTACTTAATAGTGCAAATCAGAAGCCAAGGAGTCATTCTTGAGTCATCTCTTAACTCCCTCTAGCTGCTCTATTTGTATGCTCCATTGTTTACTTCACCAAAATACATCTGAGAATTTTCTTCTTTTCTAATATGTTGCTAGATTTTCTTCCACTTATAATGATGTCATAACACTATAGTTTCTTATCTTCCCCTGTACTATTTTATTCCATAGTTACCACAAATCAGAAGTTATCACTCTCTGACTTAAAGCCCTTTCGGATTCAAACTCCTAACTATGACACATGATACTCTAAAGGTCTCACATCAACCCTTTCTAGTCCCTTCCTTAACCACTATGCTTCAGTCACTCTGACCCTTTTTCAGTTTCTTATAATTTTGTACCACTTGTCAGCATCAGAATTTTCACCCCTGTTTACAGGAATTCTTTATTCTCATTGTTGGGTTGAATTCTTCTCAGCAAATCAGATCTCAATTGAAGAGACTCTTCAGACACTCATGAAGTTAGCTCATTTCCCTGTATTATGCTGTCGTTTTTATCTTTAGACCCTATTCTTTTGAAACTTTATATTGTAATCATTAGAATTAGCTATTGATTTTTTTTTCTTTATTTCATCTAAACCCATTACAGGGCTATAGTTCTTTGCCTTTTTTGAATATATTTGTGGCCACATGACTTGCTTTGCACAATGAAAGGTAAGCAGAAGGGATATGACCCTTGAATGAGCAGAAACTGCAAGACCACTGCGGAATTTGCCACAGTAATTTCTCACTGCTATGGATATTGTTGGAAACACATGTTAAGATACAGCCTTTGTCACCTGAGTTCCTGAGTGACAAAGATGTGTTGACCCTTCTTACAGACCTGTACTGAACAGGTTGGATGATTAGGGAACAAGCTCTGCTGGTGTGAAGTCACTGATCTGGAGATGCTCGTTATCATAGCAAAACCTAGTCCATCGAGTTTAATGCACATAGTAACTTACTAGTTTTATTTATTTATTTATTTTCACTAGGTTATCTCTATGGGCAAGTACCATGCTTGTTTGATTCAACAATGTGTATTAGGAGGTAACGAACCATCGAACACAGGGGCTTTAGAAATAATTTCAAGTGAATAAAAGAACAAAAGAAAAAGGTTTTTACCTCTCCTTTCTAAATGTGACTCTAAATCATGATATAAGCGTTTTGATGAAATTTCGAGAGATAGAAATGCTAGCATATATTTAAGCAGCACTTTACAAAATCCCATAAAATATACTTATCCATTTATAAATCCATTGCTCCTCACAATGTGGTATGTCTGGTAAAGGCTGAGATTGTATGAGTGTAGCTAAATGCTTGGTGGTCACCTGAGTGGTTGGTAGCAATGCAGCGCAGTGTGTGGGCAGTAGTTATTTTAAGATACTTCCTCTAATACATGCGCTGTGCTTGCCTCCTCGTTCCTCTATGCTGACTTTTCAGTGTAGGAGGGATCCTGAGACCGTTGTCCCTGATTCAAGAGGCATAGGAACTTACTTTCAAAAAGTATGGGGCAGGAATGACACCGAGAGTAGTTAGAAGTAGTGATGGAAAAGGAGGTAAGCCCAGTATTTGGGTTGAGTGTCACAGATTTCAAAATGTAGAACTTCACCAATTTTTACAACTGCATAGCTTTACAAATTTATTAATAGAGTAATTTTTACCAGCACTACGCCATTGCTTCTCTAGAGAGAAAAGTAAATAAGATAATTCAAGGATATAGCCATAAATAGTTCTACTTTTCCTATGAGAAAGTTAAGATTCATTCAAGCCACAGTATAGCAAGTGAGTGGCACAGTTAAATCTCAAATTCAGATCTTTACCTCCTAATTATTTGAATCAATTATTTTCTTAGAGAGATTTTTGCTATACGGCATGTGTATCGAATCAATTATTATTTTCTTAGAGAGATTTTTGCTCTATGGCATGTGTACTCACTGGAGAGACCGACAAATAGACAGACAGACAGAAAGTGAGAAATCACCCTCCCACCCCCAGGGGATGGCTATGCTGCAATCCCTTCTCTATTCTCCTCTCGGGATCTTAGGCATGCACACACATGTGCCCAGTGTGAGTTTTTTGTGTTTTGTTTTTAACTTATTTAACTTTATTTATTCATTTAGACCAGAGGTGGACAGCAAAAGAAAGTGAGAAAGCAAGCCACCAGGTCTGAAACTTGAACCACGGTCGGCCAGGTGGGAGTCCAGCACCCTTAATCACCACGCCACCTGCCAGCCTCCCAGTGTGTTTTAAGCCACTGAGTTCAGGACTGAGACCGAGGCTGACTACATGGGAGTCCAGCAACGTAACCATTATGCCATTTTCTAGGTCCCCCAATCAGTTATTTTTGATGAGCTAATATATACTGAATATTTAAAATAAATTCAGTAGATAGTAATAATGTTTCTATTTTATAGGTTAGGAACTTGTAGCTTGTTCAACCTCATAATCCTTTAGTAGCAGAACTACTTATATACTGCCTATACTAATTTTTTTAAACTTTTTTTTTGTTTGTTTGTTTTTGTAGTTTTTGCTAAAGGGTACATGCATTCATAAGGAGAGGAGGAGTGAGAATTCACCCTGAGGGGAGTGGCCACACCACAATTCCTTCCCTCCATTTTCTTCTTAGGATCTTGGGCACTAACAAGCTGCTGAGTCCTAGACTCCAACTGTGCGGGCAGCCAGGTAGGATCCAGTGCCTTAACCTCCATGCCTCCTCTAGCCTAACATACTGTTCTTTTGAAAAGTTTGATTTATTTCTTCCATGAGTGAGTAAGGTGGGGAGGAGAAATGTCACCACACTCCTGACAGGGTCTCAGTGCTGTGATCTGCTTTCAGCCTCAGCCAGCTCTGGAGCACAGGCACCCCAGGGCCCAGTGTACTTAGTTGGTCTCCAGTTACAAACGGACACCCTTCTCGTGTGCATCAGCCTCGCAAAGCCTCACGTTTCACTGTTGTACCTCCAAGCAGCTCCCTGCCTATCATGTTTTATATTGCCTTTCTCAGCCAAGGATTCTCATGAGACCTGTGCATCCAGGGGCCCTTTTGGCCAAAAGAGATCATGCTATCACATTATATACTTCTATTTATTTTTTCTTTTTACTTCAAGCCATAATTATCAGTTGTAGGGATTAGTAATACTATAATATAAATATTGGGGGGAACCAGCAGTTAGCATGATGGCTATGTCGCTGGACTCCCACGTAGTCTACCGTGGTTCACGTCCCGGACCCGGTGGCTTAAAACTCACGCTGGGCATGTGTGCGTATGTGCCCAAGATCCCGAGAGGAGAATGGAGGAGAAGGGATTGCGGCGTGACCATCCCCTCTGGGGGGTGATTTCTCGCTTTCTGTCTCTATGTCTCTCTCTGTCTTTCTGGCGTGCGCACGCGCCCTATAGAAAAAACCTCTCAAAAAAAATAAATAAATATTGGGGCTGGCACGCGGCTTAGTGGTTGAGCCAGTGGACTCCCATGTTGTCGACTGTGGTTTGAGTCCCTGACCCAGTGGCTTGAAACATGCTGGGTATTTGTGTGTGTGTCCAAAATCCTAAGAGAAGAATTCAGGGAGGGGATTGCAGCCTGGCTATCTCCCCTAAGAGGTGGTGATTTCTCACTTTCTGTCTCTCTGTCTCTACAATGAGCACATGCACCCTGTAGCAAAAATCTTTCTCTCAAAAAAAAAAAAGTATACACACACACATATCAAAACTCCAATGTAACAAAGTATTATAATGCAACAGCAATGGCAGAGCGTTTAGTGTTAAACTCGGCAGCAATGAAGAGGGTGTAGACTCATCTTGAGAGAGAACCTAGTTCCAGTGACTAGGTCCACCCAACTGCTTGCTTTAGTGGCCAGCTGTGACATCCGCTCAGATCTGCTACCAGGAGGCAGAGCAGATATAACAATGGCCTTTAAACTTTATTGCAAATTACTGTTTGAGCTACTGAAGGGTGGACAGGGTTTTGAAAGTTGGAGGACATAAACCTTGTATGCGGTCTCAGGATCCATGATTATTGGAAATTAACAATGCTATTTTACTCACTCTTTTCTTTTCTCTCTTTCTTTTTTTTTGCTATCTTAGAATGTTGTGATAAGAATTAACTACGTAGACTCAATTTTTTTTGTAAATTTGTTTATTCTAGGGTGAGAGAGAGAAAGGCAAAGAAACAGACAAGGTCTCCACGCTGTGATTTACACCCCCAGCTTCTGCCAGCCTGGGTCATAGGCACATACACACTCGGTATACTCAGATCTCTGGCCATGAGCTGGCAGCTCTCCTTGCTTGCAGAGTCAGTTTTTATTGAAGCACCACTGACTGGTTCTCGGGGTTCACATTTTGATGGGAAGACCCAGGAGAAAAGGCAGCAGTAAAAACTTAGGAGACATTTGGACTTGACCATATTGCAGTTGATTAATGCCACTTCATCTTGGTCCCTGAAGGTTCACTTTCTTCTCCATACTCTTCTGTTTCAGAGGATCAAACAAAGTACCCTAACTTTCTTTTTTTATATTAAGATAATCCTATTTATCATGGGTCCTTCTTCAGAGGTAAAGATTAGCTGTTGTTCTCTGATACTTACAGTGAATTTGAGAAGTGATTAAACTTAAGTTTTCTTATTTGAGAAGAGTGGGTAGAATAATATCTGTTTTACAAAAGGGCAACTAAAAACTGAAACTAAGCTGAAAAATGTAAATACATTTTATAAACATAAAGGCATTTATAAGTATTTTTTGTTATTTTATTTTACTTATTTATTTATTTTTTTTTAGAGAGAGATTTTTGCTATAGGGCACATGCCTTCATCAGAGAGACAGAGAGAAAGAAACTAAGGAATAATCCCTCAGGGAGGATGGCTCTGCAATATCTTCTCCTCCATTCTCCTCTCAGGATTTTGGGCATGCATACCACGTTCTGGCATTTAAACCCCCAAAATGGGCAGCATTCATTAAGTGTCGATTTGTGTGTATGCGATTTTGTTTAAATATTTTTTCTATTTTTTTTCACTGGATTGTGTATCTTTACTTTTGAATTGCAAGAAATATTTATATAGTATAGACACCAATATATATTATTTGCTAGTATTTTCTCCTAGTCTATGGCTTATTTTTTCACCTTCAGTGTCTTTTGAAGCATTAAAACTTTAATTTTGATAACATCCAATTTTTTAATTATTTTATGGATCATGGTAGGGGACTATTTGTCTAATCAAAGGTCGTGAGGATCTTTCTCTTCATTATTCTAAAATACAGGTTTTTATAGTTCCAGCTCCTACAGTTTATTGTATGTTATCCATTTTAAGGTAATGTTAGGTGTGGATGTGAGGTTTAGGTCTAAATTCATCTTTTTACATCTGAGAATCCAATTTTCTCAGTACGTTTTGTAGAAAAGACTATTTTTCCCCAGTTGAATTGCCTTAGTACATTGGTTGAAGTTCAATTAAGCATAAAGGTAAGGATTTTCTTCTGGACTCCCATTCTACTGCTTTGATTCATATATCTTTTCTCTTGTCAGTGCCACAATATTTTGATAACTGCGTAATTATAGTAAGTTTTGAGTTAGAAGAATAAGTCTTCTTAGTTATTCTTTTTAAAATTTTCTATTTTAGATTCTTTCCACTTCAATGTAAGTTTTAGGAACAGTTTGTCCATTTCCATTAAGAAAAACAAACCTACTTTAAATTTTGATAGTGGTTACCTTGTATTTATAGACAAATTTGAGGAGAATTGCCATTTTACTAACATTGAACATGAAGACTGCATTTCCACTTATATGTTCTTTCATTTCTTTCTTCAACATCTTGTGATTTTCACTGTAAAAGGCTTGTGCTTTTTGTTAAATATAATTGTAATTTTTTTTTGTTTTGAGACTTTTTCTTATTTATTTCTATTTATTTATTTTTGAGAGAGATTTTTTTTTTTGGAGAGTTTTTTTTTTTTTGGGGAGGTTTTTTTTTTTTTTTTTTTTTGCTATAGGGTGCATGCGCTCGCCAGACAGACTGAGAGAGACAGAGAGACAGAAAGCGAGAAATCACTCCCCCGGGGGGCTAGCCATGCCACAATCCTTCTCCTCCATTCTCCTCTCGGGATCTTGGGCACGCATGCACACGTGCCTGGCATGAGTTTAAGCCACCGGGTCCGGGCCTCGAACCGTGGTCGACTACGTGGGAGTCCAGTGACATAGCCATTACACTAACTGCTGGTCCCAGAAGATAATGAGAGCTAAGACCAGTCTCACTGACCATTTGTAGGTTATGCTACGGAAAGAGTTTTAGAAGTCAGTGTTTTAAGAGTCATTAGAAGCTAGGGCTGGCTGATATTTAAGATTTTAGGGATTTCAAGTATTTATTCATTCAGACCAGCAGATGGAATGGCGGTTAAGGTGCTGGATCCCACATGGCTGTCTTGCTGGTGGAGTCCTTGACCTTCAGCTTGAAAACCACACCAATTGTATGTGCATGTGTGTCCAAAATTCTTAGAGGAGAAGGGATTGTGGTGTGGCCACTTCCCTTGGGTGGGGGGTGATTTCTCATTTTTCCCTCTGTCTGACTCTTTTCAGGGAACATGCATATATATATTCACTCATTCATTCATTCATTAGGTGTTTATAATTAAACATGTCCTATGTTCCAGCAACTGATTTAGGAATTAAAAAAAAAAAAAAAAAAAGATTGAGACTTCCACTTTGTCTTAAAAAACACATTAGAAAAATATAAATATGTAAATAACTCATTGCATTATAGTGAGAATGTTTTTGATGGAAGGCTTTTCTTTTTCCTTTGAAGGTCATGGTTGGTGATAGTAGAGAGAGGCAACCATTTAAATAGAGTCTACAATTCAGAATTGAAATTGCAATGTTCCATGTAGATTAGAATTGCACTGCAGTAGTGCTTAAGAAACACTTTGAGTACTACTAAATCAGCAGAAAAAAGGGCAAAACAAAATTTAGAGAGGGGTAAATATATATTTTAATTATTGAGATTTACACTGTACTTTTCCCAGGGGGAAAAAATGCCTAAGCTGCACTAATTATCATGCTATTTAGCATTAATCTGTGTAAAGATGATTGGCTTATTTAAAAGCTGATTAGATTAATGCTATTACCTTAATAATGGTTACAATAATTTAAAAAATACCTTATTATGTTTTAAAAGCCCAAGTCACTGTTGAGAACAGAGTTGAGGGCTCTCGTATGTTCTGTGGGCACCAGTGGGGTTTGGTCTGCTCATAATGTAGAGAGGACAATAGTTTATGGGAGAATATGAAAGAACATTTTATTTTTGTAAGGATTATTTTTCTGAATCACTAGTTAATATAGTAACCTTTGTATTTATTAATGAGAACATTGGATTTTTTTTATTGTAGGAAGTTTTTTTTTTAATCTATGAAGTTTACTTATGTTTTTCATTAGGAAATTAAATATTAATTAGACAAAGACTGAGAAACAGGACAGTGAAAAGGGTAAATATTCCTTTTTTCACCTTCAAAATAATCAGTATTATTAATAATAAACTCATGTGTCCTTGTATTCCTTTCTCTATTCAAATGTATGTGTTTGTTCTTTTATTGGTTTGATAGTGTTCAGATTGTAGTTCACAAATAACGATGTATCTTTTTTACCGTTATTATTTTAACATATATAATAGCAAACACATAGTCATTGTACCATGCCTTTCATACTTTCTTTTATTTATCAGAAGGAAAAAAAGGGTAGGAGAAAAACAACTAAAATGAACTCTCTAGTTATTGTCTTATGTACCTTTTTAATTAACTTGTTTAATGAATATATAATTTATAGAGTAACTTTTAAAGAGTACACCTTATTCTTGAGCCCAGGACTCTAGGATTTTTAAAAAGTATATTCTTACAGATCTCAACGAAAGCAAAGGAGAGAGAGAAAGTCTGAAGGAACCAACCTGGGAGCTGTGAAGTAGTTGGCAGAGGTGTGAGAGGATCATGAGGTAATGGGTTTATTTCCATAGAACAGGTTTCCTACATTTAAGCTTTCTTATTCAAAATTAGAAAAAAAAATGTAATTGAATGAAGAGACAAATCGGAAGAAAAAGAAATAGTTCAAATCCTAGTCTCATTAATTTTTTTTTAGTAAACAAGCCCAGGCCACTTGCATTATATTTTTTATACTATCATTAGAACCTGATTATTTTAACAAATAGTGTCAAATTCCACTATTATTTTGAAGAAAACCTTCTTTCATTTCAAATTCGTCTTTTTTTTAAAAAACATCTGTCTTCTTAAGGGTTTGGGAAAATTCATGTCTCCTATTTGTGTAGATAAAATATTTCATTTCTATCTTTAGGTTGATTCTGTTTAGGTAAAGGCAATAGAGAGCTAGTTAAATATTGTGTTTTATTGTGGGATAGTCAAAATGCTAGATGGAGAATCCAAGTTGGTGATATGCTATTTTTCTCGAAAAATAATTGAGAGATCAACCAATTTACGTGTGTGGATCTTAAGAGTTTCAGAGAGAAATAAGATGAAGAAACAATGCATCTTTTCTAAAGAAGTCTTTATCTTAGATTCCTGTATAGGAAACAGCCTTCAATAGCCAAATGTTAGTCGAACTTACCAAATATAAATATCTGAAATCCAACTTCTGGTCGCTTTTGCCTAATGGTGTGTTTTTTAAAAAATCCCAACAATCTCAAATCTGCTACTGACAGTAAAACTGTGATAAACATCCTGAGGGAAACCGAAGAAAATATTTCTTTCTTCTCTTAATTTCATCTACCAACCATTTACAAAATCTCACCAGTGTTCTTCAAGTTCTTCCTCAAGTTTTATTTCTTCTTCTTTATTCTCAGGAGCCATATTCAGACCTTTATTGCTCGCTTGCTCCTTCATTTCTTGTTTCCTTCCTTCCTTCCTTATAATTTGTCTCTGTGGCTCCGAGTTCTTCATTCTTTTTATTATGCAAAATGATGCCCAGGTGCTTTAATCATACAGCTTGCTTGCTGAAGTCTGTGATAACTCAAGTAACATCAGCCTACAAAGTCCCGGAAGGTAAGGTGTGTATACTCAGTGCCTGGGACAGTATCTATTATATAGTATAACCTGACTATTTATTCAGTGACTGAATAATGACTATCCAAAGCAAGGAGATAAGAGGTAAAGAACTAGTATAACTATGTGAGCTTTTCCTGTTGCCTTAATTTTTCAGATAAAAAATCTCAAATCTTAAAGAAATGAACAAAATATTCTAAAAACAAACTAACAACAAAAACAACAAGAACAAAAACACCCAACTATAGCCAGTTACATCCCTCTAAGACAGACATTTTGTTTTTCCACATGGAATGTGTTTGGTGACATTTCTGATTGTCACACCTTCAAGGGAGGGAAGGTTACCATTATCTAGTGGGCACAGGCCAGGGGTGATGCTAAACTTACTACAATGTACAGGCCAGCCTCCCCAAGCAAACAAGCAAACAAACCATATCCAAAATGTTAACAATGCTGTCATGGAGAAACCACTATTAAGATTTAATAAGAAAATGCTTTACATTTTTCTCTCACTCTCTATTCAGCTTGTATAGTGAAAAGACAGAAAATCAAGAAAAAAAATCTGTAAGATTAAGGGGTCATAGGCTTGGTGGTAAAGTATTTTTTTTTTCTTCTCTTTTGTCTTCAAGTGAACTGAAGAAAGCTCAAAGAAAATCACCCAGAGATTTGAAGATAGTTGAAAGCTTGAAAATGGCATTTCACACCCTAGCTAGATGTCTGCTGAGCAGCAGAGACTCCTTCACTTCTTTTACTGTTAGTGAGGAGAAGGGTGAAGGGAAGAAATTCTTGGAAATATCTGTGTACATTTTGAGGGGTTTAGGGTAATAAATAGACTGGCACCTGGCTTCCACTTGGAGAATTCTGAAGTTAGAAGTCTGAGCAGTGTGTGGTTAAAGCAAGACAAGAAAGGAGGGCAGTGAGAAGCAAATGGAAACTCCAGCTTTTTGTTTTTTTAAAAAAGCAAGAGTTTCCTATGGACTAACTAAGCACCTCAGAAGGTAACTGGGCCTATGATATTTTGATGAAATCATGCCTATGACGATAGCTTCCTTAGGCAAAGGGTCCCCAGCAGTATGAAGTTATATGAGACACACTGATAGCAGGAGATGAACAGGTGTTGTAAGGGACCAACTGGATATTGTTTTGCTTGCTTGAGAAAATTATACAATGGGGAGGTCACTAGTGAGCCTATGAAAGTTGCAAATGCACTCCATGGAGAGCTAGCAATTAAGCATCAGTCACTGGAGGAACCAATGGTCAGGTGACAATAGCACTTTGGTCCTGGTTTCTACACTTTTGCCTCCTCCTGAGTACCAATACAATGGGGGAGGAAAAGGATCACTCAGCAACAGAAAGGAAAAGAAGGAGTAAATATAAGAAAAAGCAGGGCTGACTCCATAGAGCAGCAATAATGTGCTCCTCAAGAGTATTCAGATCCTATGTGATCATGGTTTGAATCCCTAGCCTGGTCAAACTGAAGCATGCCAGGCACACACATACAAGTACCCAGGATCCAAAAGCATGGAGGGTTGGAGGATAGGGATTGCAGTATGACCAAATCCTGTGGAGGATGTCATTTCTAGCTCTCTCTTACTATCATATGACTGTGCACACATGGTATCATGCATAAAGAAAAAAAAAAGAAAGAAAAAGAAAAGGTGAAAGGATGAAGAATGAGAGCTTATCTTCTTTATAGTGGTTTCTAAGACTGGCTCATACATAATTTGATGGAAGAGTCTACTGAATTGGTTAGCAAATTGCAGTTTTGTTCTAGACTCTTCCATATAATGTCTGAAAGTGAACTCTTTATAAAATGTGATTATTTCCCATAAATGAAAACAAGCCAGAAAAGTTGTCGGAATCACTCAGGATGTTGCCAAGGATCAGAAAGGGCATCTAGTCAGGCATGTTTTTTTTCTTTTTTTTGGGAGAGGTTTTAGCTATGGGGCACGTGTGCTCACTAGAAAGACAGAGAGAAAGAGAGAGACAGAAAGAAAGAAATCACCCCACAGGGGGGATGGCCACGCTGAAATCCCTTCTCCTCCATTCTCCTCTCGGGATCTTGGGCATGCACGCACATGCACCCTTTGTGAGTTTAAGCCATTGGGTCCGGGACTTCAACCGCAGTTGACTACATGGGACTTCAGCGACATAGCCACTGCGCTAACTGCTGGTCCCTCTAGTTGGGTATGTTAGAAGGAACTCTGGAGGAAAAAGTGTTTCTGGTTTGTTTCTCATAGATTTCAGACTGTAAAAAAAACCAATTATGTTAGTTTTTGTTACATACGTAATAGGGATCGGTATCATATATTTTAATGTTTATATGCTCTAAATCATTTAATGTTTGTAATAGTCCAAAGATAATGATTATTCCCATTTAAAGATGAAGAGAAAAGGCTTAGAAACATTAAATAACTTATGATGAAGTAAATGGTAAGCCTTTTCTTGCTTCCTGTTTTGAATATTTCCCCAAATAGTTAATGATTCTGCAGAAACAAAAATTACTTTTAATTTCTGGAAGTTCTGAACCACCAAGAAGGGAATTTTAGAACAACTAGTAAATAAATTATTTCCTATACAGAAATTAACATGGTAGTTTAAGCATTAGAACAATCATGTTTGTTCTGCTTTGATTCATAGCCACATGTACCTCAGAGAACGCCTAAGATTTTTTTTTTCTGACAGATTTATATGTTCTTACTTTACGCCTTGATATTGCGTTCAGCCATAGCATCCTGTCCTTTGGCAGTAGAGCTATCTCTATTCTGAATTATTAAGTATGTTGACAGTTGAGTGTGAGATTATTATTTTTTTAGTGCTATATTGAAAACTCCACATAATGGTGGAGGAATTCATTTAGGTGATGATCTGACAATTTAGCTTGGAGTAACTGGTGTCCACTTTTCTATCACCACTTATGAGTGTGAGAGTATATGTTTGTCTAGAGAGGTGCAAACACGCAACAAAAATTCTACTAAATCCTGCTGTTAGTTTTCACTGTTTGTTTTAAAAAATCTATGAGAGCTCTGATTCCGGGTGTGAAAGAAAACCATTTTCCTTTCTTCTGTGTCTTTTACAAATGATACCAAAAGGATCATTAGATAAGTATGCCCCCATCTAAGGATGCAGTGAGACAGAAGTAAGCACTCATCTTGCCAGGGTCTCAAGTCTAAATTGGGCTTCTTTTAAAATATTGATGAGGATACAATTATTCATAACTGCTCATCTCCTGGGAAAAATCGATACCTATAAAGTATGCAAACCTTTGCATTTCTCCCTTTTATTTATTTGAATTGACAAGTAAAAATTGTAAATATTTATGGTGTACAATATGATGTTTTGATATATGTGTACATTATGGAATGACTAAGTCAAACCATTTAACATATGTATTACCTCCCATATCATTTGTGTGTGTGGGAGGGTAAGAACCATAAAATCTACTCTCAGCAATTTTCAGATATATAATACATTGTTATTAACCATGATGTATAATGAATCTCTTGAATTTATTTCTTTTGTCTAACTGAAAGTTTATGTTCTTTGATCAAGATGTCTCTAGTCTTCCACCCCTGTTCTCCAAAGGTTCTGGTAACCAACATTTTCCTCTTTATTTCTATGAGAGTTTGACTTTCTTTTGTATATAAGATCAAGTGGTAACCACCATTTTCCTCTCTATTTCTGAGTTTGACTTTCTTAAATTCTTCATATATGTAAAATTGTGTGGTATTTGTCTTTCTATGCCTGTCTTATTTCACTTAACACAATATCTACTAGGTTCATCTATGTTGTCAAAAGTGAGAGGATTTCTTTTTTTAAGGATGAATAGTATTTCATTGTGCATTTACACTACATTCTTTATCAATTCACCTTTTGATGAACATTTAAGTTGATTCCATATTTTGGCTATTGTGAATAATTCTGCAGTGAAAATGAAGTG